TCTCAACAACAACAGGCTATGGGCACAAACCATTTTAGGGCTCTTACCTACGCTATGAGTCCTACCTATAGGCAAAATATGAGTCCAAACCGAGAGTATCACTTGGGGAGGTTCCCTCGTTAGTGATAATAACAGCAATAGTAGTAATTTAGTCCTATCTTCATTTATCGATACCATAACAAATAACATAGTTAAATCAAAACAAGATCAGCGCTACGATGATTGTATGAAAAACTTCGCTTTAGTATTATATATGTTAGGTGGAAAGTTCGCGTATCAGTTTGTCAGAATAGATATTATGGGTGCATTGCCAAGTTTAAGAACATTGAGTATGTTAATGTCTAATACAGATACTGTAATAACTGCAGGCTGTTTTCGATTTCACGCTTTAAAACAATACACAAATTCAGCGAATGTAAAGTTTGGTTTCTGCTCCGAAGATTGCACAGGTGTCATAAAGAAAATCAAATACGATGTTACTACTGATTCTTTCGTTGGGTTTGCTACAAAGTTTTCTAATGAAATTCCGATTCCTAACTATTATAAATCAGACTCCTACGAACAATTGAAAACTTGGTTTGCTAATATCCAAAAAGGAAGTTTATTAAACATATTCATGTTTCAACCGTTATCATTATCAGGTCGTTCAAAAACACCATCTCCTTTCTTGATGAATGCCTTCGGTGTTGATAATACCGCATCAGCGATGGATATATTATATCGATGGGTACATGTATTCGATTATAGCCTTAAAAAAGAAATAAGAATTATAGGCTTTTCAACAGGTAGATTTCTTTTCTGTTAATTTTATCTTGAGTATTATATATGAAAAAAATTGTTATCCCTTAGATGGTGACAATAAATATATGCGGGCTATGCGATTGCTGGCTGGTTTCTTTGCTTCTTTGTCAACGTTTCGACCACATGAACATCCCGATGTATTTCAGATAAAAACAGAATATCGTTGGCCATGGTTTTACCTACGCAAGCAATAGTTATTTCTTTCTACCGGATCCAACACATCTAGTTACTAAATGGAGAAACCGATTGCTATCTCGAACAGCAGATTTGCGCATCGGTGATGAAATCATTAGTATGGATCATATAAAAAATAATGTTGAAAGCAATAAATATACAAAACTTGATCATGGTTTAATAAGGTCTGATTTAAACCCAAAGAATAGACAAAATTATCGATCTTGTGTTAAACTGACTTCTGAAGGCGTTTCACGTATTTTAATTGAAGATTCAAATTCTTTAGGTACTCACGTGTACCTTAAAATGCTAAAAATGATAATAGCAGCATACATTGAAAAATCAACATCTATAGCTGAATGTGAGTGATCATCATCAAACATGTTTTTGAAAGCAAGAGAGCAATATTTTGTTTACCATCTGAAAGTTCAGGCATCTAAACATACCTAAAATAACATAAGCTTTTGACTCATATGCAAATTAACATATACTTTTCTAATATCATATGATTATATATGTAACTTAGGGATCAGATTAACGCAAGCAAAATCGAAAACCTAATAACTTAATGAAGGCACTTGTTGATGCACCCCACATAAGTGAGAACATTTGAAGCATTTCAAACTTTAGCGGAGAAACTAAGAAAATCCTACACTGCGCCGAAAACATTGGTGGCGATCCCAAACTATAGTGTTATTTATACTATAAGAAAACTCTTCACGCAAGTTGATCTAGGTCCTATAAAGATCTAAGCACTGGGCATAAATGAAACTGAGTATTTCTTGCCAACACCAACACCAGCTTATTATTCTGTCTTTTTATTAATTTTTCACAAACAGAGATCGTTTGAGATGTGACTTTAAGCACCTTTCCATAGCATTTTTATGTGCTACATTTATGTCTTTCATCTTTTATATAGGATTAGAACTGGCATGGTGTACAGTGTTTGTCTGCCGTCTAAGGATGGGCATGGTTACAACACGCAAGTTTAATAAATGAATCTAGAACAGCAACAGATTAAAAAAAAGAATGAAAGAAAGCTATTTCATAACGAAAACAGCTTATTTATCAGTAGAAATGAATGCGCAAATGCTATTATATTTGATAGTACTTGTAAAAGAAAACAAACTACCGAAAGAAGCATTGAATGTTTACCTGTTTAACTCACAATCTTGTGAATCTATGTTTCGTAATGCAAGAGCTCTTAATGGAGTATTTTCTACAATTGTTAACTTTACTGTTAGTGATTTTCTTCGTGGGTCTCAGAAGTTGTCAATTTTTAATCAACTAAAATACGAGCAGATTGATAATTACAATGGGAAAACATTGCGATTCCCTGTACATTACACGCACAAAACAGATGATATTAAAGCAATAGATAAAAAATTAGACGATGTATATGATTTAAATATTGAAAAAGCCATTACTAATTCTTACGAAATGGCCATTACTCTCATTAAAAGATTGAACACTATATCATTGCTAAAAAAAATAATACTCTTGAAATGAATATATTAAGTCAATATATCTATAATAATTTAAAAGAAAAATCTAGATTAGTCGATGATACAACAGTACCACCCAGTGACTGCAATCAAAGTCATGATTTAGAATGGGAAATCGATGATAGTGATGATAATGATGATGACAACAGTGATATTGATGCTCAAATTTTTAATGAATTACTAGATGTTGATGATGAAGAACAAAATATAACATCAGTTAAAACAGAATTTCAAGGCATCAACATCCGAGACCATATTGATTCGGACGATATAAAATCGTATTTCAAAATCCAAATTAACAATAAAATAAAATACATGTATAAACAAACCGTTTGTTGGTTGTTGACTGAGGAGAACAAACAAAT